TACATGCCAGTGTTTGCATGCTCTGAGGTCACAGCAGGCTGGCTGTGTAGACTTAACGCCATCTGTGTAGTCATACCCTGTCTGATGATACAACATTACTGAAGAACAGCTATAAAGTTATCCATTAGTGGTTCCTACTGGAAAACTACCTGGTGAAGGGCTGACTCAGTGCTATCTAACTCTCCTACTGTCTTCTGTCAAAGGTGAATTTAACCATGAACTAGTCTCGTAAGTCATCTTTCTTTTCTCAAGCTCTAAATTTATATATACTGGAAAAAACAGAATTCTTTTTTTGCTACCTTAAGAGAAAGTTTGCAGTACAACTTGAGCTATTCCTTTCCTCTATTTTTCCATATGTTTCCCTAGAAAAAAATTACACCAAAAGTACAGAAGAACCACAGGAATATGCATTTTCCCTCTGGGTTTTTATCTGAAATGTCTGCACTGACAAATGAGCTATTAAAGCTGGGTGTGTTTCCCTCCACACACACATTTCATGCCTTTCTGGGCACATTCTGCAGGAGAGGTGCAGCTACACAGCAGTTACTGTGTGACCGCTACTTCACTCCCACCTTGCTCTGCCACCAGCTGCTGGTGGAGGTCCCCTCTTCCTCTGAATTCTGCCCACACCCCTCTTGTTGGCTTTGCAGCGAGTAGAGGATTTGTGCTGGCAAAACGCCTGCTACCTGAGGTTAATTAATCCTCACCCAGCTGGAAGCAGAAGAGTTTTTTATCTTTGTTACACGAGAACCACGTGCAATAAGAAGCGACGCACCATTAACGAAGAGTGCATTTTGCTCCAGCTGCTTATTGCAAATCGAGCTGCTTTTTTTCAGGGATATGAGTATTTTTCAGAATACCCATATGGCACTGGGCTAGAAGGTACCGCATGTGCCTAGCATGTCAGTGATCATTTTGTGTGCATTACTAGGTGGTGTTTGCATGAATCACTGATTCATGAAGTGCACATCCAGTTTGCAAACTGTTTCCATCCGTGAGCTGCTGTCCAGCCTGCCCTCAGAAGCAAGTGCAGTAGTTCAGAAACTTGACTGGGAGCATCGTGCCCATCTGTTTCAATGCCAGAAAACAGTCCCTTGCAACCATCAACCCCCCGTAGAGAAGTTTATTCTGTGTGAAGCTTTATGATTGCATAGTATTAGCTGATAGTTCATTTCAAATTTCCATTGTTGCTCATCTCCATAGTCCAGGTGTCAATTTGGGAAGGTATCTGTCTTTTCTCAATGAAGTCCAACGTATGTTTGTAAACAAGCAGATTTGTTACAAATGAAAAATCACCTGCTCAGCATTATCAATAAAACTACGGAACAGCCTGGGTTGGATTTAACCACTGAAGTGAGCAAGATTCTACAAACAATGCTTGTGTTTGACTTACAGCTAATAAAGAAGAGATTTAATTGTAACTTCTGGAGATAAAACAGAATCTAGCTCTTGGAATAGTTTGTTAAACAAGTAAGAGCAGAATACAGCTGTAGTATTGCCTCTTCTATTTCTGTTTTCTTTTCAACTGCCTCAAAGGACCTAAAGCTTGAGCCATTTGAAGAGGAAGTTTTGGAAGAAAATGCAAGATCTGTAAGTGCTTTTCAGGATAGTAATTTTGACATTTAATTTTGAATGCCAGGTATCGAGACAACAATCTCGCCTGATCTCTTTTGTTAAAAAATAACTTTAAAAAAATCACCATCCTCACTTTTTCCAGTGATAAGAATCCATTTTAGTTAGCAAAATACACTGTGCAAGAGGCAACAAAACAAAACTTAGAATACATGGGCAAAACTTCTATATTAATTGGTTTTATTAATATTAATAATATCTTGTTTATATATAAAATATTAATAATTAATGTGGGTGCATTGTTTTCAAAGGATATAGTGATCCAAAACCTCAACTCACATAAGGAGGAAAAGGCGTCATTAATAAGATTTACCAAATTCGGCAGCAGTGTTTCTGGGGTGATAGCTTCTCTCCTCCCAATCACCTAACGCTGCATGCATACTTTAAATCATGGCTGTACAGGCCCCTTCCCTCCCAAAACTGCTGCAGGAAACCTTACCAGGAAAGATGGGAGAGCATCTAGTGCTAAGCAATTACAACTTACAAAACCAAAATCATGACCAGAAATAAACTGGCTGTTAAGTAAGTTTATGTCCCAAGATTGAGCTCAATTTCTCCAATGCACTAACATTACTAAATTCAGGGCTTTGAACCTAACAAAATGCAAATCAAACACACATGAAAAAATAACCCAACTAGATGATCCATCAAATTCCTTATTTCATCACAGGAGTTGCATTAGATTTTTTCCTTTTTTTTTTTTAAATGAGATTATACAATATTGCTAGACAAGCTGCTTATGATGGAGGGATAATCTGTGATATAACAGTACCAATAATCAAGGCAGAAACGAGTCAAAAACCTGTACAAGAGATTAAGTTGTATTATTTAAGAAGCACATGGTGTTTCTTTAAATAGTTCATTAGTAAAGTTCACAAGCTTCAACAGATCAATCATATGTAAACTGCTTAAAATAGCTAAACAATAACCATAATAACTCAGGATAAATAGGTCTTCTCTACTGGCAAGTGTTTCCATAGTCCTGTTTATAAGGATTGTTCATTTTTTGCAGAAAGGTGGAGGAAAAAACCCTCTCTATTCATCATTTAACATGGGCTACCTTAGGCATCACATTCAGGTGTGAGTCAGAGCTCTGAAAGGTAAAAGGCTGTGGGAGCACCTCAACAAAAGTAACACTGCATCCAGCGCAGATAGTGGGAATACGCTCTGATCTCAAACCTCACACCTGCTTGCATACAGACTCATCCAGGGAAACATGCTGACTTTATTACTGAGCATTTCAAAGATCAACATTTGCTTTACACTCTTCCAAACGAAACTCTCTCATCCAGGGCTCAGACAACTCTCGCTTTCCCTAAGGCGGACGCTCATTTTAAGCGTTTCCATTCTGTGCCTCAGCCTGCCCAGACATAAAAAGCCACACTCAAGCATTTCTACCTGTCCACTCCAGGGCACTAAAACAGGGACAGCAAACTTTGAAGGAACTTCTGTGGGTTTTCTTTGATGATTGTGGTTTTTACTGTTTTATGATAGACTTTTCTGAGTTTAAAGTACAAGGAAGTCAGAGGATGATATGGCAGTAATGTCATGGTTTTGTATCACAATCACAGCACATAATGATTGTTCAGCGTCAAATGTCTGTGATAGAAGAAGAAATCGAGCAATTCCGGCTTGCTCTGAAGCAGTATGTGGAATCTGCTTCTACTCAGGGTGGCTGCTTGCAGTAAGTACAGCATTATTGTCCTTGGGCTGAATGAAGGAATGTCTTATTTCTTGAGTATCTTTGAAGTGGAGATGCATTATTTACAAGAGAGAACCTGTAACATCTTTCCTGGCTGGTTATGTCTGTGTGTAAGACAGAGCTTTCCAAAGACAACTAAAACGAGAAAGAGATGTCAAAGTCAATGTGCAGACTTTTAAGTAGTATCACAAAATGACACTACAGGCTATCCCAAAGCTGCTAAACAATCTTTCAAGGCTTCTCAGCCTCTGCAGGTCATCCCGTCACAGATTCTGGAAGCTCTTAGGCTGACACTCTTTACTGGAAAACTCATTTGCCATCCTTCACCTGGCAAGTGAGCAACTTACCAACTTCTTTGCCAGTTCTCTGTTTGTAAGTTTTCAGAATCTTCCCTTTAGGCTGTCATTTTAAAATTTTCATTCATAATAAAGAATGGGAAAAATTAAAAAGCAAAATTTTCAATGGAACAGTGTATTTCTGCTTTGCTCCTTTTAGAATTAAATAAAACATTAGAACTGGGTTAAGAATAAATTTTAGTGACTCACCACTGTACTGAATTTCTTTAACATACTGGAGAAAGCTACTACTGTACACACTACAGACCGTTATGAAATAAGTATTTTTATAATGTGTACACAATACAGGATCTTCCTACATATTCAAAGGCTACCTATCACACCTCTAATTTATGAGCCTTATTGCTACGATATCATCACACTTAAGACTGTATCAGTAGTGTTCACACAGACCAAAAAAAAGTAAGTTGAACTGGAAGAAGAGAAGAGTGACCTTTCTGCTGTGGTTCACTCGCAAAGGCAGATTGACGAGGAAAATAGAATTCCCTTGTGGGCCAAGAGCTGGAAAAAAAAAAACAAGGAAGAGAAGCCCTCCAGCCCCCTTCCAAAAACTAACATGGAGCAAAACAGTAGTGACTGCAAACTTGTTAGGGGAGAGACCTTACGTGACTTCAGAAAGCAACTCAACAAAACGCAGCAAAAAGTTCCTTTCTCGCCCAAGTTTACAGGCGTTTGCCAAGTCTGTAACGCCACCTACCGCTTGGGTTTCGCTGTAGCTGTCTATGACGGACGTGGGTTCTTCAACAGTTCTTGGTATTTTTGCTATTTTACAATGTACTTTCACATGCAGCAGGAGAAAACCAGTAAATCATGTAACTTATTACAGTATGAAACATAACCTGAGACCTGTTTTCAAGCACAGCAGTAGTAAGATTGAACTGTCGTCTATGTGCTATCTGCTGCATTAGCCAATTTTCCCTGAATCACAGTTGTTTGATTCATTCTCTGCATTAGTGATTAGCATTTCTTTAGATAAATGACATTATTGAAGCAACATGAAAAATTAGTTTCATAAAAGTCCATTGTAAGTGTAGTAATATAAAATATTAATAAAGAAAAAGCCATTAAAATACTCCAAGAGGTTTTTTTTTTAAAAAAGCTCAGATAATTTGCAGTATGTGATCACTTACTTGTTGAATTTATTATTTGGGTTGATTTTTTTGTTTTGGTTTGCTGTTTTTTTCAAAAATCACTGCATTTGGTCCCACTCATAAGCAGTTTGGAATAAGATGTGCGTGTCCAATAACTTTGTCGTGATTTATTAAATTAGTTCTGTCCTACAATTCTCAGTGTTTCCACACAGAAGCTTCCAAGTGATTCCCGCTTCATTGTTTATGAGTTCTGGGAGAACAGCAATGCATGGAATAGGTAAGTTTCAGGTTTTTGGTTTGGTGTTTGTTCTTTGGGGTTTGTGGTGGGGTTTTTTTGGTAACACAAAGTTTTGAAAGTTAAAAAGCAATTGTGTAGAAAGACTGAATAAAAATTACTTTAAATACTGCTACTCAATCTCTCGCTAAATATATCACAATTAGTACTTCAGAACAATACTTCAGTTGCTAAAGACTAAAATATACTGAAACATAAATAAAAATGTCAGAAAGACAAAGCTAATTCAAATAGAACATAAAAAGGCTGAAAGCGAGTAGATACGGCATCAAATGGATGTTAGTTCATCAAAGACAAAAGACTAGGGAAACAGCAATATGACCACAGCTTAATGATAATGAAAGAAACAAAAGAAGCCAACGAGTGAGACAGGAGGTGTGCCATCCAGCAACACACTTCAGCGTGCAAGCAGTCACGGGGAGCTCTCCCAAAGCTTCCCAAATCCACATCACAAAACCCCATCCTACAGATTCCCAGAGTGTCTCTTCTGGGCCCAAAACAGAAGTTACAGTGATTAAAAGTCCTACCAGCCGAATTCTAACCTGCAGCAGGCAGATGGCTAAGAAATTGCATAGAGACAAAAAAGATTTTCCTTAACTACATTTACTATTTAAAAAAGCCCAACCAAACCAATTCTATGATCATAAATCTGTAGACAGAAACCCTTCTGAAGGAAGACGGAGAACTCTCTTGAAGCTTAGTTGCTTTCCTTTTGAACAAAACCGCAGTTCAAAGTTTACTTTCGCAAAGACTCAAGAATACTAATAACAAGTGTCAACACTATACTGGGTCACAACCAAGAGATGAGTATCAGAGTAACAGTTAACCGTACAGAAGAAAACCTGTGTTTAATATAACTTGCAAGCACTTCACAGCTTATCTGGTCTCCTCTCCCACTATCATCACTGCCTAAATTCTGAAGCACAAAATCTCATTAATTGCCAAATTTCTAACACTCACAAAAAAAATTTAGCCCATTTAAAAAACTTTATATATTCTTATTTTCACAATTATTTAGCCACCTTCAAATGAATTACAGCAAGACATTCCAAAGAAGTAACGTGGACTTCCTGGAAACTCCAGAGCTCATCACAACAATGCTAGTCCCTGGTAAATATCAATTTTTGACATTATTTTGTTTGTTCCATGTGAAGAGTTCTGCTGCATTAGTGTGTTCCATGTGCAGGACCACTGTATCACCCTTAGTCATAATATCACCACCTTTGGTAAACTATGGAGGAAAAAGGGACTCCAAATGTTTTTATTTTAAGCACTAAAACATAAAATGCATCCATTTTATGGATGTGCATTTTATGTAGTGCAAAGTTATGCTAGCATATACTATTTAGGAAAATATCTAGAATAAACAATACTATTTGTGAATAGTAACATAGACCCCATTTAAGATTTTCAGGCAAAAAACTGCTTGCTGATAAAGACTTCAACTTGATCCTACTTGCATTGACTGAAGGGAGCCTTAAGTACTAATAATTGATATTTACTAACCAATTTATTGTACATACTTCCTGCTATGTTAAAAAAACCCTACTTTGAAAAAGCAAGGTGTTAAAGATTCCAAATTATTATTTCTAATGCAAACCAATGAGCATGCAACATCTTTTCTCCTAGAAACGATAGTTAAAAGAGATAGTGCAGGATGAAGCAAAGCAAGTATCAGTCCCGTATTTACAGGGAAAGGATAGTAAAGTTTTTATATTAGGGAACACAAATCTATTACAAATAAAACCCTAATTTCCCCTATGTCTGAGTACAGACTAAATTTAAAATAATAAAACTTCACCTAGTAGAAAAAAAAAGAGATTATGTAGTTCTGTACCTGGGGTTTCTCATCAAAAGAAACCAGCCAAGACATTTTCAGACTTCATGAGCCTGATCTGGACACACAATTATATGCCAGGGATTCCTGCAGTATAAGGAGACGGCACTTAATGAAGCAAGAATCCCTTCAAAGCTTGGATCTTTTGCTGGATTTAAGACAAACTTGGCTGCAGGAAACAATGCAGCCTTTTCCCAAACTTCTTTGTGTCCAAGACCTAGATGGTGTGTGACCCAGGAGCATTCCAGGGGTGGTTTACTCACTGCTAAAGTACAATTAACATAAAATGAAATGTAAACGTAATATTTAAATGCCTGAATATAGAAGTGTCTGAAATTGGATTCAAAATGCTCATTAATGCATCAACTCTGCCTGCTATGAAGGATTTCAGTCTGCAGCACGCTATCCTGGCAGACAGTTGCCATAGAAACAGCATTTCTCACTGTGCACTCCTTGCTGGGGGGGGCAATGGGAAGCCATGCGTTCACCATTATTTTTACAATTTTATAGATTATCTATAATTTAGAAATCTGTGCAGAGATTTGAACTTTTGTTTCACGGAAAGTACTTCCCATGTTTGATCGATACAAATCACATTTGTATTTGAAAGACAGAAAGTGTTACTGAAGTAAAAAATGATGGCTGCAATCCTACCAGTGTACTTTATGGAAGAATTTTAGAGACTGTAAAGTGATACCACTGTGAACATCAGGAAAAAAAGACCTGTCCACAACTAGCACATAGGTAGGCTCTGTTTTAAAAACAAATTTACCCTAGCCCAGCCACATCCACACTTTTTTTTTTCAACACATCTGGGTAATTAAGAACTGAAACAATTCTAAATTGTAATCTGAATCTGATTCAATCAAAGATTATAACCCAAGAGTCTTTACTCCAACAACTGAGTAAGGACGCACATACCTGGCCAAGAATGATTAGGAGACAAGAGTTTTCAAGACTGTTGGACCCAAGATTATCCTAAAGTAAATTCGCTTACCATCAGTTAACAGGAACCACAACTTATTATAGTCACTCGCACACTTGTTCACCGACCAAGTTGCTTCAGGCCAGTCTACCAGGGTGGCATGAATCACTCAGTTCATCTTCAGTCAATGCCTAATTTTTATGTAAGATCTGGACTTCAGGACACTAGAGAACCTTTTGGTGAAGAAAACAAAAGCTAGGGGAAAACCGTTGAAACACTTATGACACTATAATCCATTAAATAAACTACTAAATTGGCTTTTTTGGGGGCCAAAATTCATTAATCCACTGACATGGCAGAGACTACTAGGCATTCATAGCCCAAATGCAGGTAAGATTCTTAAGTATCTCCTCAACATTCTTCTTCAAGAATAACATTTTTTATGAAAGTGGCATAAATTGAACGATTTATAGACACATTCACAGAAGGAGGATCCGGGGAACTACAGGC